ATGAAGGACACAGAAAGAATTGCAGCCATTTTTCTACTAGTTTTAAGAGAGACAGCTTTGCATCGCCACAGGTCAGATTTTGTTTCTTTTGTTACAACTTTTTCTTGGTCTTAGCAAGACCCACTTAGTTTGTTCTCATCTTAATTTTTGTTTTATTTTATTTTAATTACAGTTTTTCATTACAGATTTCTAAAATCTATAATTTAAAAATTAAATTGTTAATCTTTAAGCTTGCAGGCCCAGCCCGTATGTTTTTGTATTTTTAGGACTAATAGCTCACCGCTATTTATTTTCGTTTTTATTTTGATTTTAATTTTGATTTTAGTCTAGATTTAGGAAGTTTAGGTATTGTTTAACATATTTTAACACCTTAATGTGTCATTCTGTGTGGACGCGTCGGGAAATTGGAACAGAGAATTGAGACTATTAAAATTTACAAGACACTTTGTCTAAAATTTTAAAAAAATTTTTGTAGCGAAAAGTTTCAATTGTCTGTTTCGGCGAAACGCGTAATGGAGTTAGCTTGATTCGACGTTCAAATAATTGAAATTTCCCTTGAAAAGCCAGTTTGGAAGTCGAATTGGGCTAATTTACAATTTTCGGCTTAACTTTTTATTTGATTCTGTTTTTTTTTTAATGTTTTACATGTCTAATGGTTTGATTTTCATATGTATTAATTTTTTTAAAACGTGTTGAACTTTTTGGAGCAGCAGCTCTTGGTAACTTTTAGGCGAGCTTACTACAATTTTTATATTTTACTTATTTTGCAGCATATTGCGCAAGATGTTTTCTACACCAAAATTGTTTTTATTAAAATTATAATTACTACGTTGCTTGATATATTATATTATATTAATGTATATATATAATGTACAAATATAATATAATGTACATATATGTGCATATATATATATTAACGTGCGCACGCATAAACACACATATCTATATATACACACAGTATGTTTATCAATTTTAATGAAAACGGCTTTTCGGTCTGTATGCATTTTTGCTTAAACAGACTTTAACAGACAGGCATATAAGTTATTTGTAATGCAATATAATGTAACAAAATAGAACACATTAGTAAAATTTAATGTGCCCCCCCCCTGAGTGTCTAGGCACAACTGCCACCATTCCACTACACTCCGGCACAGGCCTATATAAAGTTATTGGCATAATTTCAGCTGCTACAGCCATAATTGACTGGTTTAATCTTTCTATGTTTGCAATCTTTGCTCAGTACACTTTGGACTTGATAAAATCCCATAGGCAAAAGTCTGGTGATCGTGGAGCCCAAAGCCGTTTAGAGCCAGGACCAATTCAACTATGAGGAACAGTTTCATTAAGATAATTACGGACAATAATGGGAAAATGGAGAGGTGCACCATCCTGTTGGTAAACAACAGTATCAATAATGCCATCTACTAGCTGTGGCCCAAGATACTGTTGCAAAATATCGAGATAAATTTCTCCAGTGATGGTCCTTTTTGCAAACATGAAAGGTCCACAGAGTTTACACTTAGTTATTCCAATCCACCCATTAACTTTAAGTGCATTTCCCCGAGATTCCTATAATACGTTTGGTTGTTCATCAGCCCTCATTCAGCAATTATGCCTATTAACATGGCCACTGAGATGGAATGTGGCTTCGTCGCTAAAGAGGACATTCTCCATTAAGTTCTTATTCTTCACAGCTTCTAACATATCATAATACAGGGCTTGCTGAGCTGCAGAGTCCTCGGCTTCAAGCTTATGCACAGTTTGAATGTGGTAGGCATCCTTGTTTAAATGACAGCATAGAGTTTTTCAAACAGTAGTATGCGAAATACTGAGTTCCCAGCTGTTTGTGTAGATGCCTGGGGTTACGTGTAATCGCTTCTTTTTGCTTTGCTCAACTTGTGGCATTACCAAAGATCTCCCAGAACGGTCTTCATCTTTAACACTACCAGTTTGCTTGAATTTATTTACCAAGGCATACTTGCCAACCTATGACACTCAAAAATCAGATTTTGTTAAGAAATCAGGAGATTTTTCACAATGTTAAAAAGACTTTTTAAATGATAAAAATATAGTTTTTAATAATGAATTAACTTTAAATAGTTACTAATTCTTAAATGCAAGCAACACAAAAATACCTTACATATAAAAAAATTTTTATTACTTGCATCGTTAAAAAAAAAAAAGACACTTTAATCAGTTTTTGTACAAATGTTATGAACAGTAGCAGATTTTGCTTTCGTTAAGAAAGAAACTTCATAATTTTGTTCATAGCAATTGCCACATAGGCCTGCTTTTGCTAATAAAAGTTTTCCTAATGCATCATCACTAATATTAGATCTAAATTTAGTCCTCGTTTTCGCAACAACACTGAAAATCCTCTCACACTCTGCATTACTATGGGGAACTGTCAAAATGGCCAACATAATTCTAGACAGTTCACTATATTTTAAAATTCCATCAGCACCTTTCAATTTTCCAATTAAACTGCACTAGATGTCAATCATAACTGATTTTATAACTTCATCCAAGTTTTCTAATTGTAAACTGCAAAATTACAACTGCAATATTATCAGTGGCAACATGAATATCATCATGTTCCATGACTAAATGAAATAACACAGGAAATCTGTTCAAAAATTTTTTGTTCATATAATGAAGTATTAAGCCAAGTTCCATAAAAATCGTGAGAAATTTTAAGAATAAGAAAAAGTCAGGAGAAATATATTGTAAATCAGGTTGGTGTGAGAGTGGTGGAAAATCACTCTCACACCTAAATCGGGATCTAAATCTCCCGCCTAAATCGGGAGAGTTGGCAACTCTGCCAAGGTAATAGCTGCTCTGGTAGGGGCATATTTTCAGAATTGTGAACAAAGTCGTCCTGCATCTGTTGATATGTTAATCCGCATGTAGAGGCACAAACAATAGCTATTCTTTCCAACGTTCAAAGAAACTGGAATTAAAATGTATTTCTCAGAAATGTACAGAGACTTTATAAACATCCTGTATATATATATAACAAATTCACACTCATTTTGTTAAAAAAAAAAAAAAAGAAAAGAAAAGAAAAGAAAAACAGTCCATCAGCTGCTTTCGGATCTTGTATTCAACTCGCATGCAATTTGAGTTTGAGACCACTACAACAGAGTATTCTGTACATATAGTACTTTTTTTGACTTATTAATTCTTGAAACACATAAATCCAGCAGGTATCAAACCTGATTTTTATCAATTCTCGATCACATACATGGGTCAAAGAAATATGTTAATAACAGATGTGGAGATTCATATTGCCCTTGAAGACCATGCAGGTAATTAAGAATTTTTTAACAAGAAAACTTTCAAGCTGTTTGTCAGAAAATAAAATGGAAAAATCAGAAATTCTGAAACCAAAAACATATGAGAAGTCTTTGTCAATGAAGGTTTAAAAACAATTTTCACTTATATCTCAGTGAAAATTCAAATAAAATAAATTAAGCTTTAATCTCAATTACTAGATCAAGAAGGGTGGAAATTCAAAATGCTCCAAATTTTGTTTCTAAACAGAAACACTGAATTAATCTCACAAGATTTTGGATAGAGAATAGACCCAACTATATTGTAAACTGCAAAACATATTAAAATTATTACACAAGATATCACACAATTAACATTTTAAGCAACAAATGTGTACAAATATTACACAACTTTTAAAACACCATTCACATTTTTATCTGAAAATGTTTTTTCTTGTAATAAAATATTTTTATAAAAGCATTATTAGAAAAATAAATGACTTCATCCTCAATCAACCAGTCGAAAAAATTGTCAGATTAAACATTATATGACAATGAATAATTTTTAAAAACTACAAAACAGGCAATAAATTATCTTTAAACATAGACCACAAAATTACTTCCATTACATATTATGTTTCAAAAATAATGGAACATACTTTAAGAGGTGAGAGAATGCAATGGATTAACAGCTTTTTGTCATAGAATGCATGCTTGAAAATGAAATTTCAAAATGCTAGAGGGCATCCGCTCTTCCACCATGCGAAATCGGAAAATCGCAACGACAGGCGGTACACATCGCAAATTTATTACATTTCCTTGAGGAAATAATGGAAGGAAAGTCAACTGTGTACGATTTTTGAAACGTACATGAATATTTCACCTTTCTCACAGACATAACAAAAGATGATAATTTCTAAAACTATTTCCCGAAGGCGCGTGTACTCACACAACTCAGGACAAAATGACCGAAATAACAGCTTGTTTTGTCCTCATTGGCTAATATATTCCAGATGACATGCAGTGGACCTACTAGAACTAGAGAAGGATGTTTCTAGATACGTATATGCTCTCACTCACAATGCAGAAGTTATCTAATTCGCAAGGTTTAGTTTTAGATATAATCTAGAGAAAATTCATTTGCTTCAGACGTCCAAAATCACTTTTTTTGTTCATATAACAAAGTATTAAGCCAAGTTCCATAAAAATCGTGAGAAATTTTAAGAATAAGAAAAAGTCAGAAATATATTGTAAACCGGGTTGGCGGGAGAGCGGTCGAAAATCGGGAGAGTTGGCAAGTCTGTCTTGAATTAGATGAAAAATTCATCACCCATATTTTGGTTTATGCTGCAGTTAAGTACAATGTGGGTGAGAAAATCTGCCAATTCCTCAATCGCAACTGCAGGTTGGCAGTTGTTCCTTCAAGCAATTAGTACAGTTATTCCTGATTAAAACTATTTTTTATCTAGTGTGTCTTCTCAGGTTTACACTTTACCTTCTTGTCTTCACCATCAAGCTCTTTTTTTATGTTCCACCTTTGACTATGCATTCTATGATGAAAAACAATTGCTTCAGTGTATTCAACCTCTTAAAGTTTGTGCTACCTTTTTTATCTTATATTATATGGCATAGATATGCTAAACAGCCATAGAATTTAAAGCTTAATAAATACAAAAACAACATCAAAACTGCATACAAAAATTTAAACTATAAAATTTTGAAACATACCGTTATTTTTCTAACTTGGTCTTTAGATCTTCCTAATATGTTACTAGAATCTTCCCTCTGTTAAGATAAATAAATAAATGAATAATTGTAAATTATAACAGTTACATAACACAATATTAAATATTAACATTACATTTGTATCTTATATTTCAAAAGACTTGAACACAACATATTCACAAGAACAATGCTTGTAAATATCATCATATTAACATAACCAAATGACCAAAACACATATTTAGCACAATCTAATTTAGCAATTTATAATGCTAATTAAGTTTTCCTTAAACTGGAACTGGAAATATAATATGGATAAACTGGGAAATGTGGGAAATATAATATGGGTAAATTGGAAATATAATATTGTTGCGTGCGTACGGGTTCGTTACGAAATGAATGCACAAGTCCGATTAAAAAAATGAAGAAATTTTATTATTATCACAACAAATATGATTAAATGTCCCCAAATAATCGTGCAGTTTCACAATATATCACAGTAGTATCTTCTAACTACTCAAACGTTCAAGAGAATTCAAAACAGCTAAAGAAAGCTAATCCGCGAATTCGCTACATCAACAAGAGCAGTTTTTTAAACAAACTCCTAGAACAACAACAAACTAACTAACTCTCAAATTGAGAGGTTTTCCTCCTATGTATAAGATTTTTAAATCATGTGCGAGAATTTTCTGGTACTTTCTCGAAATCAAAAAAGACATATTTATTTAATTAATATTAAATGCACGTGCACTTGTATTTTTAATTTTCTGGCTTAGCTTCCTTATTTTAATATTCGTCACGTGCTGCACTGCGTGGGAAATGAAACCATTTAATTTATAATTGAACTAACATTAGCTTTTTAAATACCAAATTCGTAACACTGTCCCCTTCCCAAGGACTGCAGTCCCGGGCAGTACAATCCCTGGACAGGAAGTCAAACTTATAACTGAGGCATAAATGCTACTGAGGCATAAACATTACATTACAATATCAAACAACATGAACAATAAATGCAATAACTAACTTAAACAAATCAAATGCTATCAAATACTAAATACAAAACAAATAATAAATACAAATCAAATATTAAATGCAAATCAAATACGAAATACAAATCAAATCAAATACACATTTAAAAACAAAAAGGACCATGGTCTTATACTATTTACAATTATTTACATTACGTACTATGGCCATAGTAGTGAGCTAAACTGTCGTAATGAACGACTTTAGGTTTAGAGTTCGAAGACTTACGGATCCGAACCACGACGTCATTCAGCCTGTTTTGGACCGTGTACAGACCATCCCAAAGTGACTGCAATTTCGGACAAAATCCTTTCCGTTGAATCGGGTTCCACAACCACACCTTGTCTCCTTTGTTGGATCTATGTCTAGTAGCTCTCGTGTTGTATCTGGACTTCACTTTCTCCGTCGCGAGGTTGACTCACTTTCGTACGGAACGGTGCATCACTTCAAAACGGGCCTGGACATCTTGGATGTATTCATCAGGCGATGAAGTAGCATCCGTATGTCGATCAAACAGACGGTCACAAGGCAGACGAAGGTCACTACCAAGGAGCATTTGTGATGGAGAACAGTTGGTAGTCTTGCGTTTCTTTTCGACCCTAGTAGGATTTCGGCAGCTCCCCGAGGTGGGTCTTTCGGACAAGACATCGGCATTTCCAGGTGAGGATCCCTTCTGAGGATGGATAGTCATGTCTTCAGATCCTGAAAGCAGTTTATTGTTTCTGAAGTCTAAGGAAAAATTGTATTTCCTTAAAAAGTCCATTCCGAGTATGCATGGATCTGTAATATCTGCCACATATGCCGTGTGATGGTAGGCGGCACTTCCAAACGTGATGTTAACGTTTAACTTCTCAGCTATGTTGATCTTGTCACCACACGTAGTCTGAAGGGTAACAGAGGTTGGCGTCCAAATAAGTTTATCTTTAAACTGTTGAGCTAAATCTTTCCTAATGATGGTAACATTAGCTCCTGTGTCAATGATCATATTGCAAGGAACTCCATCGATATGCCCATTGATGGACAGTCCGTTACTGTTGCCACTCACTGTAGAAATCTTGAGCACTTTAAAGCAAGGTTTTTCATTCTTTGGCGACCTCCGTTCCTCGATATGGTCATTCGTTTCCTCCGTCGTCGTTGGAAAATGGTCTCAATTTCCGTGCTTCGGAGTATTCTGCAGTTCCTTCGCACGTAGCCTTCTGCTCTGCAGTTCCAGCACTTTGGTTTCTTGTCAGTCCTTTTCCTTCCCGTGGCATTTAATTGTCTGTTTAAATCATATGCCGTATTTTCCGTGCTCTGGGGTATTCTGCAGTTCCTTCGTAGGTGGCCTTCAACACCGCAATTCCAGCACTTTATGGTCGGTTTCTTTTCACCACTATTCTGTGTTAAAGCATTCACTGGTCTTGTCAACTCATCCGTTTTATTATCCGTGCCCTGGGGTGTTCTGCAATGCCGTCGTAGGTGACCTTCAGAACCACATCTCCAACACCTTACAGCCACTTTGTTCTCACTGCTACTCCGTATCAAAGCATCGACTTGTCTGGATAATCATCATTAAAGCCATCAATTGGTCCCCTGGCTCGTGGACTCACACAGCTCTGACTGGGCAGCGATCTCTACGAGTTGCTTGCTGGGCTGCCTCCAATTTCACGGCGTACAACAGAGCGCTTTTTACATCTTTAACATCCGCCATTCGCAGTGCTTTTTGTATTTCAGGGTCCCGGATGCCATCGATGAAATACTGCAGCGACAGGATGTCTCTTGTTTCTGTCAGGCACTCCGAAAAGGCGTGATGTGACAGCCTTTCAACATCTGCGGCGAGTTCCTGGAGTGATTCGGTGGGCTTCTGTTGATGGGATTTTAATTGAAGCCTGCTGTAGTCTTTTAAACATTTCTCGCCAAAGCGCAGCTCGAATGCTCCGGATAGAGCTTTAAAGTCTAATCTCTGGTTTTTGGGAAGAGTCTGCAGGATATCCGCTGCGTCTGCTCTCAGAGAAGCGGTGAGATGACAGGCTTTAGTTTGGGAATCCCATCTATTCACATCCGCAACGATAGAAAATTGTGTCTTATACACATGCCAGGAGGTCTTCCCATCATATGTAGATAGTTTCAGAGAGACGAGCAGGCATTGGTAAAAATTTAAAACCATCCGAATTGCTCCCTGCCGTCGCTACGAATTTCTTTAAAGTATCCATTTCTCTGGCGACTGTAGAAACTCTGTCATCAATTTGTTGTTCGATATGTTCTTGGATGACAGATACTTTTTCTTCAATTTGCTGTTCGATTCAATGTTAGACAGCCGAAACTCTTCCTTCGATTCGCTGCTCCACAGCAGAAACTTTCTCTTCTACTTTTTTCTTCACAAAAGAAACTCTTTCTTGAATTTCTCCGACTTTATTTTGAACGGCGTCTTCTGCCTTCCATAAAATCAAATTTGTTTTCTATTATGCAGGTAATCTCTTCCTTAACAGCTTTTATGTCTTCTTTACAAGTTACTTGACCAGCTTCCAACTTTTCATGAACGGCTTCCATTTCCTTTTTAACAGATTCCATTTCCTTTTTAACGGATTCTTCCATCTTTTTCTGACCAGATTTCATCTGATCTTTCATTTCTTCTTGTCCCGCTTTCATTTCTTGCTGGCCCGTTTTCATTTCCTCTTTAAATGCAGCAAAGGCTGATATCAGCTGTCTTAACTGCTCTTCCATCATATTGTAATTGGCATTCAAATCCCACTTCTGACACCAAAAATTGTTGCGTGCATACGGGTTCGTTGCAAAATGAATGCACAAGTCCGATTAAAAAAAAATGAAGAAATTTTATTATTATCACAACAAATATGATTAAATGTCCGCAAATAATCGTGCAGTTTCACAATATATCACAGTAGTGTCTTCTAACTACTCAAATGTTCAAGAGAATTCAAAACAGCTAAAAAAAGCTAATCCGCGAATTCGCTACAATCAACAAGAGCAGTTTTTTAAACAAACTCTTAGAACAACAACAAACTAACTCTCGAATTGAGAGGTTTTCCTCCTATTTATAAGATTTTTAAATTGCGTGTGAGAATTTTCTGGTACTTTCTCGAAATGAAAAAAGACATATTTATTTATTTAATGTTAAATGCAAGTGCTCTTGTATTTTTAATTTTCTGGCTTATCTTTCTTCTTTTAATATTCGTCACTCACTGCACTGCGCGGGAAATGAAACCATTTAATTTATAATTGAACTAACATTATCTTTCTAAATACCAAATTCGTAGCACTATGATGAAGGGAGAAAAAGATGAAGTTAAAAATATTTTTTAAATGATTTCACATGAAATTACTAACAAAATATTTTTACATAATTTATAACTCACATAACATATTACATGATGTCTTCTATAGCTGACATAAAATGGATAGTAATTATTCATATGAAAAACAAAATTTTTTTTTATGCCAATACAGTAAGACCCCGCTTAACACTGTTTCGTTTAGCGCTGTTTCGGTTTAGCGCTCTTTTATTTCAACCCGGAGATTCTCCGAAATTGTGCGCAGCGCTAGGTTTCCAAATAACATATCCGAAACAGTGTAGCTGTGTTTCTTGCTTTGTGGACGCATTTTTATCATTTGAAACATTTGTTGACATTATTGTACGTTTAAATTTGTATAATACTATAACGATTAATACAGTGACAAATATTATGATCTTTAGTTTTTATCATGGGTGATAATAAAAAACAAGAAAAGAAAGCAACCAGAAAAAGCATTTCACTGGAAACTCAAATGCAAGTGATTAGAAAATTAGATTCTGGTGAACGTCAATCTCACATTAGTGCTGCATTGATTTTGGCAACTTCAACAATAAGGACAATTCTTAAGAATAAAGAAAAAATACTGTCATCGGCAACTGCAACTACGTCAAGCTCTGCAACTAGAATTACCCGTTCTAGAAATAACATTATAGAGGAAATGGAAAAACGACTGTCTATATGGATTGACGACGAAATTGAACGCGATATGCCATTAAGCCAATCTATCATAATGCCTTCTTGACA